TTAATTTAACCAAAAAATATTGAATTTTAAAAAAATTCTAAAAAAWAAACCTCTTGACTTAGATAAATATTTTTACTGTCAAAATTGTTCTTATAATTAGATTCACAAATAGGCTATTTTAAATTTATTCAAAAAAATGTATCAATTTTTACGTTTTTTATTTTCAGTATTAAAAAATAAAAAATATACTAAAAATGTAACGCAAGTGTCTATGAATTATCCATAAAACAATTTTTTTTAAATATTAAATACAACAAAAGTTATCCCATATTTCAGAACATCGTGAGACATCCTGTATTTGAACCTCAGCACCCTTATTTAATACGAACCCATAAGTCTGAATTATCTGCGGAGGGCTAGTTATCTATAAAATATTACGGTTTATGTGTGTTATATTCTCACAGTGTACCTAAATATTTATTCTCTTTGACGTATCGTTGCCCGCGTTGGAGTAATAATTTTTAAAATACGTGAAAAATGTGGCYCAAAATAAACGTGACAATTCGAACGCCGTTCGCCGATACACCACATTCCGAGTAAGGCGCGTGGTGTAATTAAATGTATGATATACTTGATATATAGTATCATGGTAGGCACGTATTTTGTTTTTTTGAAAATTCAAAAATACGTTCCAATGTGGAAAAAACAAATAGTTTATACCGTAGTGTATATAATATAATATATATAAATATACAAAAAAACTTTGGTCRCATTTCKAGTGTGTATTCATATATACATATATTTAGTTTTGACTCGAATCGGGGGAGGAAATTTATGGATTTTCCGGCGCCCACCGATAAATTAAAACTGACGTAGACGGTCCCTAAAAGAGACTATGGGACGGGGGCTGGCGTTTAATTTGTCTGGGCGGCGAGAAATCGGCCGTGAAAATAGTCGGCATGTTATTTCCGTCGACGCGTTACTCTTATTCGTAAATAGCTGTTAAACAGACGACTTTTTTGAAAATTTACTGGTCCATCGAAATCGAAATTCACAGTAGTTTCTGAACTATAATACTTTGTATGTTGTATTGTTATACCTAATGATAATTTATATAATTCTACGATTACAAGGTAACGGTTGTAGGAGGTACCTACATAAAATATAAAATAGAAGTACGTATAATTATTTATAATATAGTATTACGTGTATACTTATCCCACATTYCCACTCAACATACTACTTACACTCGTATCAGTAGCGTATCTAGGATTTTTTCACAGATGGGACACGAAGATTTTAACAGACATATTCAGTACACGAATTTCTTCATATTATCATCTATATGTTTGACAAATTTGACTTGAACCTAACCAGTGAGAGGGTATTATCCCCAAATCTACCCCCCCTCCCTCCATAAATACGCCAGTGATTTATATTGCTTTCCAATGATTCCAAATTAATGGTGTACCCGTGTACCTATACAGATCTAMTTGTCTAAGTACTTGATAACTTCAAAAAGAAATTCTGGAATCCTGGAATTGTATACGAAAATTTCACCCATTTACAGCATATTATWATTATTATTTTCATTATTTATTAATATTATAAAACTTAAATCCGCTTAAYCCATGTATGTATATCTAATAAAAAAAGAACCAGCACCAATAGGTATGTTATACTTGCAACACAACGTTAACGGTTGAGCACATTGTCATCACCTGCCCCAAATACACTGAAGCAAGCAAGATAGGTACTCTTCAAAATCCTGTTTCTCTTCGCCAAGGTCAATTATAATCATAATTCACTCTAAATGTTAAACTAACGGTGCTAAACGTAATCTGTTGAGCGTAAAATTTGCTATATTACGCACTTGTAAGACGGAGGCAACACATGCGGGTATAACGTCCTCTTAATAATTTTAAACCTTAAAACCTTTTCTAATATTAATCGGTTATAAAAAAATATTGTTACTATATACCTATACTTTCAATATCTTTTAATTAGTATATGAACCATTATAGAGAAACCTTGTTCAGGTTTTTTTTATAAAAAAAAAAAATGCCAATTTAGGTATAACTCAAAAAAGTTAAATTTTTTAAATTTTATCGTGCATATAAAATGCTCATATAAACATTTATAGATCACGCATACCTATATTCATTGTAAGATCAACACATTCATCGCTCCACTCAGAACCCAAAATAATAAACCCGTTTTCCGACCAAAGGATGCTYATACTTAAAATAAACAAMCCCCCCTGATGAAAGGATTGGTCACACCCATTATCATTATTCTGTCAAGTAATCTCACTTTGTATAGTTTCGTGTGATCATAAAACGACAAAATGTATTTCTCTCTATTCTCCCTCAAAATATGGTGGGGGGAAGGCAGAGGATGAAAAATGTATTGCCGTCGAGAAAACAGCTTGTCCTTGGAATCGCAAATCCATTCAACTAGGTATATTTCCCCGAAATCCTTTAACCAGCTAAACAGTGACATTTTTACGTCAGTATAATATGTGTACAATTAATCTTAATAACAACCACTATTCCTAAGTACTRGATCATACGAGCAGTGAAATCGACTATACTTTCTTCCTGTATTGCTGCAGTCATATCAAGACACATAGTTCAATCGATAAGTAGGTAAGTAAGACATATCTATCCAGGAAAACAGGTTGGTTCTGATTTTTATATTTTTTACAAAGATCATAGTGTGAGGTGTCGGAATTCACTCATTTATCGAATACATGACCACGACCCCCCTCCCCCCACACATATAAAAAGAGTGATTGCGTATTATTTGATCTGATCACACACTAAAAGATTTAAGTTTCCATTTTTTTCTGTTTCTAGATCAAAACTTAAAAAAGGGAAAGTAGGTAACCATTCTGCTATATAGGAGCAGTATAGGTATCAAATGCACCTCGTCTAAGACAATCTAAAACAAAATCAATATTGTCGAAAACTAGTTACAGTAACAATTTAGTCGGAGAAATAGAAATAATTTTAAAAAAATAACAAACAATTTTTCCACATACATGTTCATATCATATAATATATATTTTTTTTAATATAACAACTAATATATATATATATATATATATATATGAATATATAAATATAATATAATATTTACAGCGTGTTTACATTATAATAATATTTTACAGGTACAAATAGGTACAATATTTATATGTTATTTAATGTTATAACCTATAGGCGTGTTAAAAAACAAAAACTGCATATAAAATATATACATTAGAATAATAGGTAATTATTCACATAATATAAACGCATTACGTATCCATAATACAACAACGATCTTCAAAAATAAATAGTACCTACAGCTTACACATTATAAAAATCGCCCACCAGATTCATTTGACACGATTCGTTTGATTAGCATGTATAATAATTAATAAAAAATAATAAATAAGAATTAAACGGCTGTTAAAGACAATTTCGAGTAATTTTTCAAATAGGTATCAAACCCATAATATGTAAAAATATTAAACAATAATACATCTTGTCCTGACGTCATACTTTAATAGGTATCTTATATATATAATAAATTATATTATGTGTAAACTTATTTGAGCTTTATCGTGTGTGCTGATGGTCAATTCCCTTCGGTCGAGACTCGCGTATTTAAAAACATAAACATATATATTATATAGGTAAACTATGATATGCCAATCCACAAACTATATTTATAATACGTATAATGTACAGACGATATAGGCACATCCTTTAAACAGTATAAGAAAATTTTTGATTCACATAATACATTATAGAGACCATAATACATTATAGAGACCAAGTCGTTTATGCCGAGTGTAAACGGATAATAATAATTTTTGATTGGGGGTTGATGTGGAGGTTATGGTAAAATGTTTGTAGGACCTTAAGACCTTTGATTTTGGTATTTTTCTACGCCCGCAATCGAAAACTACACCGCATCGAAGGGAATGATATTTTAAAGAAGTAAGACGTCATTTTTGTTTTTTTGGTTAGTTGAGCAGACTATACAAACACCATATTGAGATCATTTCCACTTAAGTATGTATATATGTGATTGCTAATGCAGTGAACAATATAATAACCTAAATACAATATTATATTAAATTATGAAAAGACTCGGATACGATTATTTTTGCTTAACAGTTTTATTAAATCGCAGAGGTGCAAAAACGTACGATGAAGCTATGAAGCTAATTATAAATAACATCTTAATTCGTGTGTGCAAGTACGAAATGTAATTAGACTTAACCTGGATAATAATCATTCGACGATTATTCATTCGGAAAAAAATAGAAGATTGATTCGGACCGATGAGTACCTACACTCTAATATACTCTATACCAATAGTTTCCAACCCCAAGTCGTCAAAAATTATTAACAAAATAATGGTATTTCATATAATGATCTCGCATTCACAAATATTTTGAACATTAGTTGTAATTATTTTATTAGAAAAACTAATTAGCATCCATGAATCATATATTATTCAACTTAAAACAAGAGTATTATATAAGTACGTGCAGGTATCACTGGTATATTACTGGCTATTCATAAAATAMAATTTAGAGAACCTATTAAGTTTGATAGTGAACTTTTTGAATGAATTACAATACAACTAAAAGAAAAGATAATTGGTCGTGATTCGTAAAAAGTTGAAAACCACTACTTTACAATATAAGTACTACATACATAATCCTCCAATCCGCAATGGACGATGATGATAGGAAAACATTAAGTTATTGTCAAATAATGCGGTGCCAAATTTAATATTATTTCGATGAGGCGTACTTGATAAACGAAAAAAAATAGCTAATGTAAACACATAATAATAATAATAAACTAGTATACACAATGMAAGAAAAAACGAAAATAGTAAAAAGCTAATCAATATTATTTTAACAGTTTAACACAACTTTTAATCAAAATAAATTATTTTGAGTTAAAAAATTTAAGGCAATAAAAATAATAAATAATAATTGATGTTGTTGTATATTATTTGTACAGGAAAAAATGGTTAGAAACAAAATTTAAAATTTAATTAAAATTGAAAAAAAAAATGTATAATAAAACTATATAAACACATGATCTTTATTACGGATTTTAATTTTCTGTTCATTTATGAAGCTGAAAACATGTGAACTTTCATAATTGACGGCTTAACAAATGGCACAGGGTGAACAAATTTTTTTTAAACAATTGTGAATACCAACCAAAGCATAACAATAATTTTTAAATAATAAAATAATACCAATTTTTGTTTAAAAATTCAAATTAAACACTCATTCTATTTTCAAAGAGCCAAGTTAAGCAATATTTGTTTCTATTTGTTCACATATTTAAATATCACCAAATTAGAGAATAATACATTTTTTTAATATTAACACTAAACAAAACAAATAAACTAGTATATAAGTCAGAACTATAAGGAAATATATATTTATGATATATACACAGATATGTATATATTTATATATATATATACATATGAGATTATGTATAGTATATACATAGGCATGCGTTGATTTCGCCAAGTTCAATGACAGATATCAATGTTAGGAGTAATATTGTACAGCCCAATTTTTACAAATATACACAATTCTATATTCAAAGTATAACTAGGAAGTTATCTTTATATAAATAAATTCAGGAGCTCGGATTTAATTCGCTCGAGAGTACTACTTCCTCAGTAACAGGTTCAGATATAAAATCATTTCCCGGCATATCCAAGTCTACATACAATTTGGATTTTTTTTGCTGATTACAGTCACCATTACGGACATCCACATCGTCAGTTTTAAATCCAAAATGGTCGAGGCCAACATGAGAATTGGAATTTTCTGCGCCCGTACACATGAGGACATTAGACAGTATCATTTTCTCATTGTCGTTTTGATCATTTGAAAAAACCTCTTCACTACTATGCATCTGATAGTCACCATCTTCAGTAGAAAATTCAATAGTATTATTCATCATTGCTTCTAGAACACTCATTTCTTCTTCCGCCACATCCTCAATTTTTATAGAAGTGCTGTTTTTTAATGTTTCATTTTTATTGCTAATACTAGTAGAACCCATTATGTCCATTTGTACACTGTCTTCACCCACAACAACATACTCAACGTCAGTTTCTACATTACCAACAGACTGCGAACAAACRTTCATTTGTTGCAACATATCAGTATCAGAACTAGAGCTATTTAATTTGAATGTTMCTCTTTTTCTGAGAGGTAGCCTGCCTAATAGAGCCTCTGAAAACTTTTCGTTACCACAATCTAAAATTTTAGTTATCAATGGCAATGATTTATTTTCAATCGGCACATTTATTTCAGAAACACTTARTCGTGGTGAATCCTTTTTTCTTTCGGGATTAGAATCCATAGACTCTTTGAATGCTTTTATGTCTTCTGTGGTCAAAACATACTTTTCAATGTTTCCATCATCAGCCACTTTATAAAGAACAACATCGTCTGGATTGTCTGGTGGCATATGACTTTTAATATTCCTCAATATTGGATCTTCTATGTTGGTGTCTATTATTGGTATATTAGACTGTTCTATATCCTGCATGTTACTAACCATATCTTCTGGTTGTTTGAGATTAGCAAGATTCATATTGTCAGTAAGTTGGAAATGAAGAGCATCTTCTTTAGCTAATATATCATACACATTCTCAGTTAATGTGATGTAGTTACCATCACCATTCTCAATTAATATTGGGATATCAGTTGGAAGACCAGCTCCTTTTAATGCATTTATATATCTTTCAGAATTCTGAGTTTGTGTTTCTTGTGGTTTTGGTGCTTTAATTTTGTCATCAGACTTATCATTTTTGGTTAGTAAACTAGCTAATAAAGGTGACCGATTGACATCTTCATCTGTCTTTATATCATTAGGCATTGACTTTTTCACATCATATCTATTCTCATCTAATGAATCTGCAGGCCTTTTCCTACTACGCTTATACTTTAGGTCTAAATCATCACTGAACTTGGGATTGTTATTGTCTAGACCGTTACTCATGGGAAATTCATGATTTATGGTCACCATACTACTATCATTGGTTCTGTGTTTTGAAGGTGATATGTATGATTGGTTAGATCCTGCAAGTGACAGTAGTATTTGGGCCGATTCTGTCTGTGGTGGAGTAATAGGAGCTGGTTTGCTTACCAATGGTTCACAACATGGGCTCTGAAGATGAGCTTTAGGCCGACCCCTACCAGCACACGGCCGCCTTTCGTTAGTATTATTATTTTGGCCAAGACGTGCAATAACAGCTAAAAAAATAATTATAGATAAATTACCTAATTTCTTCAATACAAATTATTGTAGTTCAAAAATACTTACAAACGGATGAAGGATAATTTCCGTTTTCTGTAACTTTAGTTGCAATAGTTGAAACTGGAATTGGTGAAGATGAAACTTGACAAATTCGAGTTTGAGCTGTTGTAGTACAAACAAGGGAAGGTGGTTTTATAGACTTAGAATCTTGTAAGCTTTCATGAGCTAATGATGATAATCCTTTAACCTGAAAAATACAAATTATTTGTATTTTTTATAAAAAATCATATATATTAAAATCCGCATACACAAACAACACAATAAATAAATACAATAAAAATTAACTAAATGTGATAACAAGTCTAGATCTCTTCTGCTGCCGATTCTAACAGCAGAAAAAACATGTTCTAAATCTGCACGTGTTAACACTATATCTATAATGATTAAAMACTTATACTTKATATCTTAAAAGAAGATATTAGCTCGCAATTTTTTTCTCTTTGACTCATGGGCGACACCAAATTTGAGCTCAGCAGATCCAATATTGTGTTGTTGGTTTTAATATTAAAGTGGAATAATCTATTATAAAACTTTAATTTAAAAATATTATCTGTTTTTATGCCTAAATTTTTTATATTATTTTGATTATTTATTAAGTTATAAATATTTATACTATTACAATTGAAAAAATACATTGGAGAAAATTAAATTGTTATAAAAAAGCCAGTTTAAACACCGAAACCTTTTTTGAATGTAATGATTTACTTTAATATTAAAGTTAAAACTCAAAATTGGCTCAGATGAAACCAAATTCTTTTAAGATAACTAATAATGTGCTGACACTGTCTTAAGTCTTAAAGTAAAATACAGCCGGACATTGTTAACTCAATGTTTAAGGAACCAGCCAAAATCTGTCCAAGTRTAATACACTAACAGAAAATTTTAGAAACCGGGAGAAAATATGAATWATTATCAATTTTGAATTAACCAAGTTTGCCTATAAATAATTCAATAAATATATGTAACAACTATGTTTTAACTTATTTCAAGAAATATTAAATGTATGTTAATATATTAACTTTAGGTAAAAGTTATCATCAGGGTTCAGATTTTATAGCATCAAAAATCCTAAAATATGCGCTATAATATGACCAAAAAAATCGTAAAATATGCTCTATAAAATATATGCCCTAAAAAAATAAAAAATAGCAACAAATAAAAATAAATACAAATCAAAATTTTATTCAATTTATCATATATCTTTATTAAATCATATATTGATAAAAAAAAAAAACTAAAATCTCCGTATACAGTTTAAAAAAATTTTATGTACTGATTAACTATTGATACCTTGAATTATGACATTGTTTGTACGCAACTATTCAAAATTATCTGAGTAAATAAGAATTAAATTTCAATTCTTATTGATTCACGTTAATGAATACCATTCGTCACGAGATTTATGAAAAATATAAAATAAAKYTTTGAATTAAGAATATTAGCAAAACATAGCACCAAAACTTTAAAAATAGCACTAAAATTCTAAAATTCTTCAAATATGCAAAATAAAATTTCATATTTAGAGTCCGTGGTGCATTAAACAAATTTATAGACCCACTCTGCTATTTCTATCTCTATCCTATAATAAGTAGCAAACGCTAATAAATCCGAATCCTGGTTATCATTAATTAATATTTTATACAAAACACAACACAACATGTTTTATTTAATATTGCGCCATAAAAAAATAATAATTATTTAAATTCTGTCAAATGAATTTAACATTTTTGTCTAGATATCTCAATCAGAGAAGAAGTCGTGTATCAAAAAAAAAAATAAAAATAAAAATATTTAGTACTTTGAAAACTTAGTAAAACCATCTAATTAATAACAAATATATTATATACCTATATAATCAAAACTATTATTTGCAATTTTAAAATTGTCTCAATTCAACTATTCAAATACTACATCCTGAAAGAAAATTAATCATGTAAATGTATACTCATTAAAAACAAAAAAGAACTATTTATGTTAATATCTTATTCATCAGATAAAACTTTATATTTACTTTAAAATAATATTCAAGTTTTCTTATTCATTATGTTCAAAATATTTTTTTAAATGTTTACTTGCTTAACTAAACGTTATTTTTTAAGATTTTTTGTTTATTGAACTTTCCAACTATAACAATACTACAAAAACAAAATATTACAGTTATAATAAGAAGTTGGTCTTTTCCAAGATTAAGGTTGTGCAAAAGTGATATTTTGATGTATTTATAYATTTTTAATTTAATAATGTAGGAACGGCCTGATAAAATGACCCTTGATAACTTAAAATTCTCACCATTAAGAACCACCAGATAAGAAATCCCCTTCTAACTTCAATTTTTCTAGTGTCTTCAAATTAACAACTAACAATAACTCAAACTGTATTAATTCAACTGAATCAACACATCAACTGTATACATGTCAAAGTATTTAATATAAATACAACATTAATAATTGTATTTATTTAAAACCAATTAGTTAAAATTAATATTTTCTTGATAACTATTATTTACTTCTGAAATTATTTATTATATTTATTTGTTTCATATGATTCAATGATTAGATTTAATACTAAGATTTATTTAAATTTGTATCASCATCAGTTATACGTTTTACAATTAACTTTATAATTTGTATTTCTCAACTATAAAATATGAATAAATATAAGCAAATACATCAATATTTTAAAATGTAAAATATGGAATTCATACATTTTTAGATTTTGTGCTACATAAACATAGCAGATGGGAATAGTTTTTGAATATGTAACATTTTCAATTATATAGCTAGCATAGTATTAACTTTAATGTAAGCTAATCAATAACTATTGAAAATTAACTAACTCSTACAGCAATTTATATGCTAGTAGTAGCTTTATTGCCAACAATATTAAAACATTAAACTACAAAGTGTTCTCTATGATTACAGATGATTTATACTTATAAGTATTCTATCTATAATTTAGAACTAATTAACAGTAAACACACTTGGACTCACTTTGGGACTAAAGCGTTTTAGTCCCATTAACCTAATAAATCAAGAATAAGATAGATCCAATAACAAAAAGATAAACATATTATTATGCATTTTAACAAACAAATTCAAATTTACCATCTACATAAAAATATTGATTATTTTGTATTTATTTATTTCATAAGTATTTTTTTTTTTTTAATTTAAATAAATAAGCCTCGGTGTCTATGGCTATTGGCATATAAGGAATTTAAGGATAACAATTTTTAAGGATACAGTATTTAAATATTATATAAACAAGAACAGATTACAAACTGTTCATAAGATTGGTTTTAATTAAAAAGATCATCATGTGAATTATGGTATCTGGATGGAGAACTTCTGACATGATATTTGATACCCCAGCTTCTCTTTCTTTCATAATTATGTTTATCATTCATAAAGGTAAAAACATATTAATTGCTATTCAGTTAATTATAGCATATTTGCACCAAAATTGAAAGTATATGATTCATATTATATACAATAAATAAAATACCTCTCTAAACAAAAAAAATGTTTTGTTTCATTTGGAATTTATTTATTTATTTATTATTATTTTTTTTATTAGTTAACCCGCATCAACATAGGCCATTTGGTGTATTTCAGTGGCGCCGAACCCTATTTTAAGGCCAGGCCATGGCCCGACATATTTTGAAAATTTAAGATAGGGCTGTTTCATATTGATCATTTTCCTCTCCACGGTATGTCATTTTTTTCCGATATTAAGATGTTGGGCTTCTTGAAATATTTTTCGCCCTACTAGATGTTTAAGACTTCGGCGCTACTGGTGTATTTATTATTATAATCTTTTTTTTTTTTTAATTACTCGGTCTATAAAAAATTAAGTACAATAAGTGTAAACATAATAAAAGTTAATATAGACATTAAGAATTTGAATTGGAGAAGCTGTCCACTGGTAACACTTTTTAAGCATTATATGCATTTGTAGGGAATTAGTTGCAAAGGTCGTGGCACCGTTTTCTTTTTAATCTTTTAAGGGAGTTTCTAGAGATAGGTAAGGTCATATCTTTTTGAGGTTGTTCGAATGATTTTTTTTAATGTTATAGTATCGAGTAGGTATAACAATTAGTAGCAGTTTTAGTGCGATTGTTCTTATTTGGAATTTATAGTAATTCTTTAATTTATGTTTGATTAAATATTTAAAAATTATATCAATACGAGTAGATGTCTTATTCTTGAACACACAAAACTTTAAAAACTAAAACACTAATTGTAAGAAAAATTGGGCATACATTTTTTAGTCAAAAATACAAATACATATTCTAAAAATCCAAACAAATTTTATATTAATATTTAATTAAGTATAGGTAGGTTAAGTGTTTATAATATAACTCTACTTCTTTTCCTTTGTCTTCTCTCTTAACTATTTGGGGTTGGCCACCCGGGTCCTCAATTCCCACTTACTATGATCCTTAGCATAGAAGTAATCCACATACCTAGTGGTATTTTATGTACTAGATGAAATTTATCGATACAATCATGTATATTTATCTGATTTGGATAGTAAACAATAATTTTTCAACGGAAATTAAAAATTAAAAATTCAGTACAATTTACTGTTTAAGCGTGATAAAAAAAAAAATTTAATATATCTATCGCATATAATTTTTTTTTWAATATTATTTACATAATGCAATAAATACTATACAATAATATAATTTTATACAAAATACACATTAATAACTTGTAATACATTATTTTTTTTTTTAAGCTTTGTACTTTTTTTTTATAATACAATGAGAAAATTGGATAACCAACATAATCATTAATCACACACATAATAAAAACCATAAAGCACAAGATGAAGGAAATCATCCAGCGATGGACTTCTACGAAATACTTTGTACTTAAAATTTATAAAAGAAAGTAAAATGTTAAGTTTTTGGTGAGCAATTAATATAATTGAAATGTGATGTTTGTAAAAGAAAAAAAAGAAAAAGATACAAACAATTATTAACATTATAAAATAGTCATCATTTAGATTTAATAGTTCATAATTATACAAAAATTCTAATTATTACTTAAACATTTTTAAACTTTTTTCATAACATATTTTATATAATATATATATAAATTACCTACTAAAAACTGTTTATTAGATACAACATTAGTACTGTTTTCTYAAGAGGATGCTACATACATATTTGTTGTCTCTGTCTTACATGTRCGTAACATGGAAAATTTACGCTTAGCAGATCAAGTTTAATTCCGTTAGTTTAATAATTAGAGTAAATTGGCTTATTATGAAACTTTATGCTATGGACATTATCTATGTTTGTGTGTGGATTTTTTACGATAACTTAGTTTTTAAGTAAGTTATGAGCATTTTTAATTTACGCTTTTTTATGTAAGCATAACTTGATACAAAATTGAACTATCGTAAAAACCCACTTACAAACATAGATAAAGTTCTTAAATCAAGTTTCATAATAGGTCAATTCACTCTAATTTTTAACTAATGGAATTAAACGTGATCCGCTGAGCATAAATTTGTTTTGTTACACATTTGTAAGACAGAGACAACAACAAATGGTTGTTTAGTGTCCTCTTAAGCAATGGTTCAACCCTAAATGTAATGACTAGGGTTAGGATGTTTACGACCTTAAAAACACTAAAAAATAGWTGCAAATGTGCACAATAATTATCAAAATATGCCCTTAAAAAAAATTAAAATTAAAATTTTATTTCTAATGTATTTAGATGTATTTTAAATTAATTTACAACTTTTTTATAACTTAAATACAAATATATAAAAATATGATATTTTGAAATTAAAAACATAGGTACTAACAGTAAATTTGACACACAATCGCAATCATCTATTGTAAACTTGATTAATAAATTTAGAGTCAAAGTTAAGATAAGTAAGTAATAATTRTATACTACGGGTTTCATATTTTCGTTAAATGTGAAACCGACTGTGCCTACCTATGGGTTTTTATTGAGGTTTATATTGTATTTAAGTTATTTTTTGGCAATATATGCATTTATTATTTTTTTGGCCAAAATAGGTATGCATTTATTCATAAAAACCCCTAAATATGCAAAAATATGCAAAATAAAATTGAATACATCTAATTCTATGTAGTGTAGTGATCACGTCGCCTACAGGTATCAGTAGTCAAGGATGATGTTGGAAGGTGACTCTTGAGTTAATTTAAACAATGTGGAATTCTTCTTAGTTAGATTATTTGATTATTTATTTTGACAAAACATATATATTTATTTATAACATGAAAGCTGAATTTATTTAACAAGTTAAGTATTCTGAATGACTAGAATAAATTCGGTTTGCGGGACGCTAGTCCATAGCAGTAGCACAAAACAAATTTACAACTTTGTCTCCAATGTGCAAGACTAAAAGAAAAAATATGCAAAAGTCATAAACATCCTAACCCTAGTAATGACTAATGATTTTTTTGTTTATGATATTTATGATTATTTTAATTGTATTTATAATAGCAGAATACATTTATTAACTATTTATAAATGATCAAGGGCGCCACGAAGGGGTGCGATTGCACCCCCCAGGCTTTAATAAAAATATTTTATGGTATTGAAAAGATTTTTTTTTTGCATAATTATCTATTAAAAACTCTGTATCTGACAAAAAAACAAAAATAACTTTGTACCGTCATATAATTGAAAAAAAATTTCTACGTCGGTATTTAACTAAAATAATTTAAATATTATTTAGAAATCAAAGTATACTATGCACGATGCACCCCCCTGACAAAATTCCTGGCGGCGCCTATGTAAATGATTGAATAACTTACCTCAAAAAATTTTGCTGCTTCCACAAGAGCATGTAAATTATCTTCTGTAACATTTGTTTCACCACAATACATGAACTCAATTAATGATTTGAGTACACTAAATTTCATATCTTTTAGAACAATCATGGGATGATTACCCAATTCACGCTGAAATTAAAAATAACATTATTGTAATTAACATAAATATGTATATATAATGTAATTCAATCTAAAAATCAAAAGATGAAATGAAAATGAAAATAATTTAAATGTTCATCAATATGTTTATAATTCTGATAGGTATAGATTTAGGTATATTTTAAACAATAAAATTACCTCAAAGTATGGGCTGCAAGCTGCGAGAACTGATCTATGTACTTTGAGACTGTGTGTATTACACATCAAAGTTACATCAACCAACTGTTGACGTTCCAAAAGATATCCCAGACGTGCGACTAAATGCGTAGAATGATCATCCCATGAAACCATAAAACGTGTTGGATTCCCCATCTAAAAATTTAAAAAACAACCATTACTACACYACAATAAAGAAAAAAATGAAATAGGCAATGCAATCATCTTACTGATAAGAGTTGATAGCCTAGTAAATAATAACTGTATCTAAACAAAAAAAATGAATATTCAATATGAAAAAAAACCACTAATTATTTTATCTTTGTCATTTGCGTTTGCATCAATTATTATTTAGAAAACACATTACACATGTCACTCTATGGCAAAACATGAAGTGTCATTACACATTGAAAATGGTCTTAATGACATAACCATAAATGCTTGAAACGGAATAACTATTAAAACAATCAAATACCTACCTATCCAACGCTGCTAACAAATTGTCTCACAATTAATGCATACTTGCATGCTAAAAGTTACAACAAAACTAATCAGTAAATACTAGGTAATCAATTTTATAGTGTTTATATCAGAAGACACAATAAGCAATAGAACAAGTAACCACTAACTGGGTATCGGGTATCATAATGATAGGCACAATATAAACTTGGAAAATCTATCAAATACAAACACTTTCCCTAATTCCCTTCCGAGCACTAATGCTGTTGCTGTATTGCTGTGACACAGTGTGCACTTTACACTGTACAGTAAGCACTTTAGCTTTAAGGCTTAAACACTTGGTGCTTAGTGGCTGGTGCTCTGTGGAATGTTGGAATATGGTTGTTGCCAATTAATTCTGCCGCATTTGATTAAAATGACAAATGACAAGACAAAAATGAGGATAAYGTCAGTACATTATAATTTATTATATATATTATACCTCTGGCTGTGTAAACACAATTCGTAATATTAATTAACAGTTATTATGAGCGTTATGGAGTTGTGCTGATTGATGGTAGAACTTTAACCTTAYAAAGTGGTGGGAAACAAACGGAGCCCAACACACCCAATACTATACTAATGTTTTTTCGAGTGCCCGAGACGTTATCGTTACTGATTGCGTATCGTTTCGAATCCAGAACAATATTGGACTGGCAGGCGGTTCGCTGTGCTAACGTAAACGTAAACAAACGAACACATGCCACCACTTTCGCTCTTGAAACCCGAAAAYTTCGCAGGGAAACCAGAATCTAAAATTTAGCGCAGAGTGATCGTAGAACCATCGGGCATCGACTACGTTTCCGTTGGCAGACGGTTGGGACTAGGGGATCAGAATACGAAGACTTGTCAGCGGTCATCTTTCGGCGACTCGGCGTGCCGGCACTATAGGGACAGTCGGATCCAAAAAAATTAGACCGCGTGGGGGTCTCCCCTCGGAAAAAATCAACACATGGCATACGCGACAGTAACCCGTGCGGGGGGGAAAATCGCAGCTGCGGGAAAACATATGACGAACCGCGAGGTCTGACAGACGGCCACCAAGGCTAACCGTTCTTCACGTGACAGCGGCGGTAATCCGGTAATCCGCCAAAAAACAAAAAACACTCCTAGGACGGCCTTTTCCTACACACGATCAAGTATTTAAAATCCTCGCCACATCGCCAAAACGAAATCGACGGAGCCCGGAAAATGTACCCCTCCCACGGTTAAGTCTTATGGTCGTCTTACCTTTGCGGGGCAGAACGTGCGGTGCAGCGACACTACAACAACACTGCAGGCAACATAGGTCACGGGGCTATATGGGCATCGCGGTTTCCCCGCCCAGCGGCAAAGGCGCCTCGAACACGACGAACTGGGACAACGATGATGGCGACAGACGGCCGCAATGACGGGACTGACGGCGACACCGCCGGGACTGCGACTCGGCACAAAGCGACAACGACGACGACGACGGTCGCACGGACATCATAACAACCGACTCGACCGGACGACGATTACTCCGGCGGCGATTTCGTCGTCGTCGTCGTCCTCGTCGCAGTCACCGATTCTGCTCCCGCTGTCGTCCGGGTCGCCTAGACTTCTCTGGTCGTCACAATTTCGGATCGCCACCGCCACGATAACGACGAGCTTTGTCGTTTCCGCTGTCGTCGTCGTCGTCGATCGTTCGCTATCCCGCGGGACGGCCGCCGAACGGATTATGCTCGCACGACGGCGGACGCGGAGTCGTCGGTCGTCGTCGTTTCGTCCAATTCACACCTGTAATAGGCGGTAAACCGTGTATATATCGACCGACGGAAAACTAATTTTATTTGTTTGACTGTTTAAGTATTAAGTGTGTGTGTGTGTGTGTGTGTATGTAAAAAGTCAAAATAATATTATTGTGCCACTGAGTACGCAGACAGTGTGTAATAATAACAATAATAATAATATAAATGTTTGGGAATAAATCGTGATTGTGCGCGTGTACCTCGACGGTGGAGTGGGACGGGACGGTCGCGGGACCAGAGGTACAACAAACGTGTCGGTCGAAGTGACGTCACATCTGCTGCTCGGTCGGATAGCACGAGGGTCCCGTGGAACCCGATCGTTACTTTTCCTTTGTCCAGACGCTTACGAACAGTTACCGCTCACCTACGTCCCGGCGACCGTGCGAAATGGCTGGCTCGACTCCGGCCGCGGCTGTGGACGCTGTGCGCGTGCGCGTCATGCGCAGTGTCGCCGGCTGTACCACGACCCAGTGATCTGTMCGTCCGACAATTACCGTGCTCGGCGACTCGGCCGCGGTGACCGGAGTACCGTTTTCCGCAATACTTATGAAATATATACGGACGATTTGTGTACAAATAAATTATATTGTTGATAGTAATATTATTATTATTATTATTATGCTCCCGGTTGCGCGTGTGTACAATAACAATATTATCGTATATAAAAATGTATATGGGTTAACGTCGAGGTCGCCGCCGCCGCCGCTTCCCGCTGCCCGCTGCCCGCTGCTCATTAATCCGGTTCGATTTCCGACCGCTATGTAGGTATACCGTATACATACATGAATAATACACCTTATCCATATATATACATAATACTAATATATACTCCGGTACTCTTCCGACGGTAAATTTTTTTATTCTCTCGCTGTTGTTTGTATTATTATTATTATTATTCAGTGGCAGTGGCGTAATCATGTTTGTGGTGACTGTAGAGTGGAGTTCAGGGCGATGAATGCCCCCCTCCTATTGACCTATTGTTTTCCATCTGTGCATCCGTGGTACTTACGCTACTATAGTATTATAATATAGATTTTTGATCAGAATTTTCTACTCCGGTTAGATCTCTTAGATTACACGCCTAAATATGCCAAGAAAAGTATATCTTTATTATACTTTATTTTTAACACTTTTTTTTTAGCTGCATGTTTCATAAATAAGTTATTTTTAAAAAAATATTAATTTGATGTTTGATGTTTTCAATTGTTTATTTAGACGATACGTTGACCAACCCCGTGACTCTGTGATTTAAACCTGGTAGCCTGATTAAAACCTGTGTATAATCTAATACCATCACAGGTTACGTCGAAATGCATAATTAATAATAAAATATATAATATATTATGTCTATATGGATACCTATATGCACAGTACAGGCGTTAGATTTTTATCATGAATACGAAAAACCCATTTTTTGTTGTACCCAGCGGCCATTTTTGCTGTGTATACAATATACACACGTGCATAATGTACGTTCGAGTGGTGTCAAATTATATTTCCTGTATCTATAATACCTAACTAGGTACTGTATTTGTTTTTGCTTCACATTATGATATAGAACACTGTCACCCATAAACATGATGTGTAAGTGCGAGCACAACAATATTATTCGTATTCGTGTACAAGTTGCATAACTTTAAATAAATACACCTGGCTTACAGATGTGTGTTTTCGCAATAATATCAGGTTAAAATTCACGTACGGATTCGTCAGTGGTAAATCGAAATGAGTTGAAAGAAATTGCTGCAATAATTATTATAAAAAAATGTATTACTAGTAGCGGTGACGAATAAAATATAAATCTTAGAGAGGGGGGCTGTTGTTGGCTGTGCGTAGATATAGTCCGTTTTATTTAAAAAAATATATATTTGCTTCACTAACAAGTAATATTTTAACRAATGAATTTTTATTTTTTGTAATGAACGGATTTTAAATTATCCTATAGTGTCAATGGTTTTGAACATCGCCCCAAATTCACAAACCCGTCTCTTCCCACCGTGGAACAGAATCATTTTATTTTAATTGAAAGTATTCATAGAAGGCCAAAAAGTTTAAAATAAAGGTATTTGGTTGTTATTAATGCTATCACTTTTATACGTGCTTTGTTTGAATAGTTACACTATTATCAACTTGCATGTTCCTACGTTGCTATCGGCTATCACATAATACATATACATACCCACTACATTTTATATTAATAAACGATTGTAAGTACTAAATAGTAAATTTAAGTAGCTACACTATGGAAATGTAATAAATAATACTAAATCATAAACAGAATAACTATAGCTGATGGCGGAAATAATATACGGTGGTTTTATTTTTATTATAGCTCTACAAGGATTCTTTAAATATCTATAACGAGTAAAATAGTAAATCATTGGTAAATATTCTGGCTGATTGGATTAATATTGTTATACTATTGGAACTTGGGAGCAATWTTTTTATARTGGACGGTCTATGACCACCMTCGCAATCRAAAATATTTCTAGATACGGCCTTGGTTGGGACTATTATAATTTTATAGGTAGACAATTACCACAATTTTACTTAAGATGAAAAAAAAAATATGTTTAATTTGGATTTTGAAATAGAACCTAAAGAAATATTTCCCATATTCAATATTTTATTTGCTTCATTATAATATGTTCTAGTTATCTACGAAAATCTGTAAACCGTTATCTGTAGCATTATTTAGATTATATAATCTTAATGTATTACATTTATTTTGATTTACTGTATAGGTATACGATTTTATGTAATGATTATTGATTATAATATTTTACAAGAATTTACTAAATGTTGTCTGTTTGGACTTGCGAGTAAAATGAATAAACTCAGTAAGACAATACCTATAATATGAATTATAATTGCAGGGAAATATAAGCTTAAAAAATTGTAGGCAAATAGAAAAAAAATCGAAATGTATAGAACTTACGAACGTACAATAAAAACTCGGAGTATTATTAAAAAAACGTTTATTTAAAATAACATATTATTGTGTATAGGAACTTAAATGACCAAACATTTTCAGAAAGTTATTTAATGCAATATTATTGAAACAAACAGATCATTTTAGGGAAGTAATGGCTTTGTATGATGTAAAATCCTGACCTCTCATCATGTGATAAAAGATTTTTGAAAATAAAAACAGTATTGACCTAGTTCCCAGTTTATGTACATAACATTTCTACTACTCATAAACTGTCTCCAGAGTCTCCGCCTATGTTGAGCAGTGAATGCCACACTGAGCTTTTTTAGCTTTTAAATTWWAAAAGGGCCAATCGAGTTACTAGTTTACTACGGTTTAACTCACACAGTACACAACGTCGGAAATTTGAWCAACAAATAACGATTGCACGGYGTACCTATAATATATTTTAGGTCTCAAAATTATTTCAATATTACGGAYCACGTTTTTAATTGTTTGGTTGATGATGATTGATGATATATCAGCATTTGAAGCGAATTCGGTTTGAACAATGTTGTTGTCAAACCTTCACGCCAAATGTTTATTCGACGAACCACGAACGGTAAACAATACGATGAGACGTCTATTATGCCCACACGGTTACACGGTACACACACATCAATTAGTGTCGAGTATTCTCGTAGCGTTCCAATAATATTATAATAATATAGGCATTAGGTGCATATTGCATGCCTTGATGTCTACACGCGGGTAAAATTGTAGGCATAGGACGCGGGTACAACCATACTATATTATGTGTGTAGAGTGGACGGAACCTGTTGAATTATAATCCGTTAACAAAAAAAAAAAAAAAAATGATGAAAATAAGGATATATTTAAAAAAAAAAAAAAAACGTTTTAATTATAATATATTTATTTTCCCCATAACAGTTTTCATTATACGAAAAACCGGTTTTCGGTCGCATGCGGGCACGTGTCTTTTTCACCGTACATGCCTTATAATTTTTATTTAATATTAATATTATTATGTAGGCACCTAGCTGGCTAGCCATATAGTACCTATGCACGTTAACGGCTAACCCATCACCGTCATTAATGACATTAACTACTCATAAGTCACGGATCCAAACGATCTTGTTATTATTTTTCGTAAACGGCGTGCCAGGTAAAAAACAAAAATATGTCAAACCTACAACGGACGCGTTTATACGATTAAAGTCCGTCGCAATAGAACAACTTTCAGATTTCGTAATTGAACGAGGTACAGACGTACACAAGCCACAAGGTAGATGCAGTCTGATGCACCGGCGTGCGCGTATAGGGCACTGAGAAGTGTGTGTGTGTGTATGTGTGTGTGTGTGACTGACTAGCGGAGGTCATTTCGCAAGGGAAATTTTTTCCGACTTTCTTCTTCGGTGTTGCGTACCTATCAGCTATATGCGATTAACTTTAGCACGTTACCACGTCATTTAAACATACACGCGACCATAATATTATAATATATTAGTGCATTATTATTTATTATCATTGTTATTATACTRTTTGTCTATTTAGTGTTTATAATGACGTTTCKTGATCGTCTTGATCGAAGACGCGATTGTCTATTTTGCTTGGGCTATCTACTCGGTGTATTTTACATATTATACTATACCATAGACCACAGTATACCTCAATACAYATTTCACGTTATGGTATATCATCAGTATAATATAGTATATCCGTATATACGGATACACTTTGTTTCTGTTTAAGTACACACGCGTAATATATGGTATACCAGCGCTGTATATACAGGACGATAAGCCAAGATAGCTCATCCCCTTTTTTTCAATATTTTCAAATTCTTAAGATTTTCTTGCCCTGCCTACGTGAGCAGTGTCACTAAGGATTGAGTCAAGTGTGCGGCGTTTAGKGGGAAAGCCATAGGGATCAAGTCGCCAAGCGCCCAAGCCCCTCTTTAGACATCACAAGCTACTTATAAATAATAATTCCCTGCAGAAGTCAGTATAAAAGTTCAGTGTACAAATGATAATCATGATCTATGTATATAAAGTTTTACCGTCACACGTTAATTGGYCAGTGTGAGTAAATAGTTAAAAGTAGAATTTTTGGTCCAAAAGGATATTGCCCCCACCTAACCTATGTCCAACAAGCCTAATGAAGACGAATCA